ATAGGGGTTGACATGGGATCCAAACCCAAAAGTGGATATCTAATCCAACCCCATCATATCAAAATCATTGAATAATGAATTATTGATACAGGAATCATATGTTCAATTGTTATACTCATGTCAGTAATTATAGTGAAGGTGATACTTCTTCAACAGTAGTATACATATCTCAATATTCACTTCCATTCAACTCAATTTGACCGTTATCCTTAACCTTTAAATATCTATCAATATCTGTGGAAATGTTTTTCCCGTATTTTTGCAATGCTCCTTACAAAAAAGGAAATATTAAATTTAATACTTAGTGAAATAAAAATATTATTTATTATTCTTGTTCTAATTGATGTTTTCTACAAGATTCTGTTTTATTGAATATCAGTTATTTGTATTAACCAAGAAAACATGCTCGTCTTACTACCACATATGAAAATTTTGAAATCACTTTTCTCGATAAGTAAAGAGCCAAATCTGTAACAAACTTGATATTATGATTGTTAACATAATTAATAATGACCATACGGTATGTTTCTCTAACATCCAGTGTTGTTATTGAGATACGCTTTGTTGAAGTTGAGTGAATTTGCTTAAGTAATAAATCGGTGTTATTGGCGCATCCAATTACCCCTACAGGTAAATCAGCTTTGGGAGCATTCCATGTTTTTTGGAAGCATCACAAAAATGCGCCGAGAACCTGACCACAGATATAAGAAATGAAAACATCATATTTACATCATTAATAGACGATAAGAAATATAATCAATGATATGAATCTTCACTAAGTAATTTACCAAACAACTATGTTTAAATAAACGAATTTACTATAGCAAAAAAAATCAAGGGAGATAGCTGAAATGCAACAACATCTTTTTCTTTTCTGTCACCTATTGTTCTCTCAGGTCGTTATTGATACAAGAGACGTTTTTACACCTACACCCTTTTATTTCTGTCACCTATCGAATTTTAAGGAAGATTCTCTTTCAAAGTAGAAAAAACATTTGGTTGTTTAACATCAAGTGATGGGAACAGAGTTGAATCATTCTAAATGAGCGCTGTAAATTTTCGTTTAAAGTTAACAGTATATGATGGGTTGTGAATAGAATGGAGAAGTTAAGGAAATATTCAAACAGGTAATTGTTGTTATCTCCACCATAAACGCATATGTGGTGAGATTTCTAAATTTTCAAACGAGATTGAATCAAACTACCTTTCAAATGATTTCAAATTTTTAAAAAAACTATTCAAAACTAATCATGAAAATACAACCATTCACAGCATCCCTAGACAGTCTCAAAGAACAAAATCCTCTCCTCAACGAAGACGAAACCGAGGAGAAAACCAAAATAGCTCCAATCAAACCAACAACATGTGGTGGAATCATTTCGGTTAGAACATTTATCATTATTCTAATCACTTCTCTATTAGTTTGCTGTTCAATTTTAATTTGGTTATCTTCTTTCATAGGATCTCGAGAAGCCCTGAGTTCCTTATCAACTCAATTGATGCATACCATCAGTGGTTCAGTACTGAACTATATGAACGGTCAACTGAAACCTTATATTTCAGCAACTGAGTCAATGGCTGAGGATTACAATTTAGGACTTGTTCCTCGTCAACCATCGCTTGCCTATCTTTACAAATATTACAACACTTTCAAGCCATACGGAATTGGTTTATTTTTTAATGACAGTCTTGACAGTGTCAATGTTTACGGAGCTCCACCCAATGAAATTGTTGTTTGGTATCATACACCAACGACTGAATTTATGTTATATGCAATTTCATTGGATACTTCAACTCCTAACACAACTGCCAAGTCACTGGTCAAGGCATCTCCTAATTATGAAGTGAATGCTCAAAGTTATTGGAAAACTACTTTTGGTTTTTATTCCTCTTTGGGATTAGATGGTGTATTCGGCATTCCTTATGCAATTCCTGGCAATCCAAGTTATACAACTTACTATTGTGCCAAATTATATGATCCTACCTATTATAGCAATGGAATTAAAAAGGTAGTTGGCATTACAAAAACGAATATTTCATTGAGAATTATTGAAAGCTTTTTGAAAACAGTACAAGTACTCACTAGTGGTTATGTGATTGTGGCAGAAACCAATAATCTTGTCATTGGTGGAAATATCAATACTACTGCTTTGGATGGAAGTTCTAGAGTTTCGTTATTTGACTTGATTGATAAGGGTTCTGGAAGTTTATTGAACAGGGTTTATCAGAATTATAAGGGGTGGACTAACACACCAATTTTTATTGACTTTGATGGTTTTTTCATTGTAAAGTCAAATTTCACATTGGTCAACTTGGAATGGAATGTTTTCATTGTGGTTGATAAGCAAGAAGTTGAAATGGTAACAAATATTACAACTGGAGTATCTGTTGGTATTACCATTTTGATTATCATTGTTGGTGTAATCATGTCTATCACTATTGGACACATTGTCACAAATCCATTTACAATTTTAGAAAGAGAATTTATGAAAATCAAAACTATGGAACTAGATCAGGTGAATATTACTGCAAGCAAGTTTAAAGAAGTCGATTTGATTTACCTTTATTTATATGAAATGACAGTATGGTTAAACGAAATTAAGACATTTATTCCAGAAAGTGTATTTTTACAATTGAGAAATATGAAAGAAGAAAATACCAAAAAAACAGATGAATCCCAAGCCAACACCAAATCAAAGAAACATAAGAATCACCCAGTTTCGAATAGTGATGCTGCCTCAATAGATTTGGAATCTCATGGAAGTCGTCATTTTAGTAACAATAGTTCAAGAACTTCCTCAATGGCATCCAAAGTTCAAGAAGTGGGAAATTCTCTTTTCAAAATTGGTCTGAATTGTAAACAAGGAGCAGTTGTAAGAATCAAATTAATTGATTTTTCAACAGATTTGAATGTTGCTGATATTGGACACATATTTTCAAAGATTGTTTCTGGGTTGAGTGCTGTTTCTAAATCTATACAAGGTGATTTTCAAGTTATTACTGTGGATGATTATCAGATTTATGTTTCGTCTGTGGAAGGAAATGGTCGAAAATCGTCAAATGTTTTGGCTTTGGAAGCTGCTTTGAAATTGAGAAAATTATTAGTAACAATCAATGAAACATCGAAAACCCATATCAGATGTGCCATTGGAGTCAGTAGTGGAAAGTGCTATGCAGGAAATTTGGGAACTAGTTCATTTAGAACATTTTCTGTTGTTGGTTCAGTTCCTATCAATGCTGAAAAACTTGCTTTTTTGGCAGACGACTTGAGATGTGATGTGTTGGCTGATGAGGGAACAATGGATGAGTCAACTCTGAAAAAGTTTGTATCCAGACCAGTTGACAAGTTGATGGAAGTTGTTGAAAATTCACAAGAAGGAAAAGTTTCGGTTGTTTATGAAGTTGAAAAGGAAAATACTATTGAAGGTGATGGTAAGTTGAAAGGTTTACAAAAATTGTAACAAAATTTCAAGAATGGATGTACGAGTTGGAACAGCAAAAGGCAAATCAGAAATTCTCAGAGTTTGGAAAATATTTCTTCTATGACAAGAACTTTGAAGGGTTGAATAATGATGAAATTATTAACATGCTCAGAGATTATGAAGCTAATTTGACAGCTGTTGTTCAAAATGATGAATACATCAAATCGTATCCTGCCAGAAAATTGATTAAGAGCATTGGGTATTTTGCTCACATATTGGAATCTTCTGGAAAGAACACCAGATTTGAATTGTTCAAGCAATATTATTCAACTGTCAACAATCAAGTTCAGGAAGTTTATCCACCTCATACAACTGTTGTAGATTACATGTAAATTATTTGAATATTTTAATAGTGAAGGATTTCTTTTCTACAATTAATAATTCACCTTCAATTTCATTAATTTCCATTCCAGAAGCAGAATGAAAGATCCATGTTTGATGATGACCTTTTTGAATGGTAATAGGAGTTGATGTTAAAGGAATTGGTATAGAAATTAATATATTCCCAGATGATTTCTCAGTTACTATCTTGAACACATTGGAAATCTTTTCTGTAAACTCAATAATGTTTCAAATTGGCCAAAGTGAGCTTGTTTCCTTGAATTCACAATTGACAAGGGAATGCTTTTAACAAGAGGGAACGAAAGAATACATAAATTGCCTCTTCCATCCAAATACAATATTTTGTCCCCATCACTTGGATCTTGTTCATCAAAATCAACTTGCATCAAATTTACAATACTCAAATCCATCGTTCTCAATACTCCAATTCTGAATTGCCTTGAATTTTCCATAAAGTATAATCTCCCCATTTCTCTATCCAAACAAATCTTTGAAAATTGACCACATTCTTCCATTACTGACATTTTCAATCGTTCCAAACTTGCAAAACTTAATCCACCTCTTCCCTTACTTGGTTTCTCAAATTTTCCCACATATAAGGAACGATCAAATCCTAATCCAAATAATTGATCAAATTGATCGTCCACTTGAATGTAGATAAAGCACGTCGGAATTGTCGAAATTGAAGTGATAAATTGTTTGGTAGCCAAATCAAATGTTTGAATTTTGTAATTTTTGTAGTCGCAAACATAAATTGTTTCGTGCCTGTATGAAATAGTAATATCCATCGGAATATTGAAGAAGAATTTGTTGTTGAGTCCTCGTGCAGGCTTTCCATACTTATTTGGCGTTCCAAGCGTTTCCACATGTTTACAATTATCAATACGAATTGCTTTTGTAAATTGATTTGAAATTTTAGAGGTTTTGCTTGTCATCATTCTAATTTTCAATAGTTCAAACAAGCTATTTGCATTTTCATTCGGTTTATCATGCAACATTAGAAGAACATCTTCTCTATTCATTTTTTTCATCAATGTGACAGGTCTTGACACTTGCCAT